CCCCCCCCGCCCCCAGGCTAAGCTTGAGCTAGGAAGCCCCATCAGAAGAGGAGGGCTAGGGGCTGGGGAAGTGGCTCAGTGGTAGAGCACTTGCCTTACATGCATGAGGCCCTGGGTTTGATTCCTCAGCACCACATAAGCAGGAAAAAAAAGCCGGAGGTGGCACTGTGGTTCAAGTGGTAGAGCTCTAGCCTTGAGCTGAAGAGCTGAGGGACAGTGCCCAGGCCCAGAGTTCAGGCCTCACTACCAGACCCCCCCCAATAAAAAGAGCAGGGCTGGGGTGCCTTGTCTTCTGTTCCCCATTTTCCAGCCACATTGCAAGGCAAATGTTCCTTTCTTTGCTACCAGGTCCAGTGCCCGATGGCCAGCTCAGCCTGAGGCCTTGGGACACAGAGGCCTCTGCGTGACCTGAGCTCAGCTCAGCCTGGGGGACCAGCTCCTGCCCCAGGCCAGGGCTGAGGGCGGGGCCTTACTAACAGGCAAAACCAGGGTGTGGTGGTTCATGCTAGGACCACAGTTCAAGGTCAGCGGGACCAAGAAAGTTTGCAAGATCCCTATCTCAGTCAAACAGCACAGTGGTATCTGTGATGCCTGGAGTTCCAGTTAAACAAGAGTGTAAACAAGAGGATCATCATCCCGGCAGTGGTAGGACACCTGATCCCAAAAATAACTAGGGCAAAAAGGGGTTGGAAGCAGGATTTAAGTGGTATAGTACCTGCCTAACAAACATGAGACCCTGAGTTCAAATCCCAGTACCGCCAAAACAAGCTCTTTTTACCCCAATCCCCACCATTTCCCCACTGAGAGCCCTGCTTTTCTTACAGCAAAGAAGAATGAAGGTACTCCTCCCCTCACCCCTGCCCCACCTTTTTGTGCCAATATTAGGGCTTGACTCGGGCCTGGGGGCTATCCCCCCCTTTTTTTTTTGGTCAGTAGTAAGTCTTGACCTCTACCTGGGCTGGCAGGACGAAGGGAACCAGAGCTTCCGCCAAGCCCCGTCTCAGGGCTGGTGAGAAGAGGGAAGGCAGAAAGCCAAAGCAGCCGCCTGTGCACAGCACACCTCCGAGGGGCGGGGCCCCAGGCCGGCCCTGCCGCCCTCTGGGATCCCCCCATGCCCACCAGCCTGCTGCTTCCCCCACTCACCTTCGGGGGCTTTGTCAACCGTGTACCAGAGCTTGAAGCGAGCTGAGTGCTCGTTCCTCAGTTCCTCCAGCTCCGGCCGCAGCAGGATGTCCTTCTCAGTCTGCAGGGGAGGGGACAGGCCATGCGATCAGCAAACAGACGATCAGCAAACGGACTCGAGCCCAGCGGTGGTCACCATGCCCATGGGCCACAATCGATTGGTCGCAGGAGACGGCGGCCACGGCTGGCCAGCCCTGCTGACACTGCCTACGTATGGCACACTTCAAAGCTGGGGCCTCTGCGAGGCTCCCGAGAACTGGGGCCTGAGAACTTCCTGACTGGGGAGAGCACACAGCACAGCCAGGAGAGGACAGGCAGAAAAACCGGAAGATGCAGGTGCTCACCAGGGCCGGGTGAGGCCTGGCGTCGAAGTCCAGGGAGTGCAGCCCACCCTCCCCCCAGCTCTCCACTGCCCACAGGTCGCAGGCCAGGTCACCCCTTCCTGGACACCTGCTCTGTAGCCCAGGCGGCCTGGGACTCCTGTTCTTCCTTGCTTTAGCATCCTGAGAGCCGGGATTACAGGTATGTATGACCATACCTGGCTCACCTGGTACTAATAAAGCTTTGATCTATTTAAACATTAAAGTTGGGCGCTCGCTAGTGACTCATACCTATAATCCTAGCTACTCAAGGGGCTGAGACTTGGGGATAGCAACTTGAAGCTAGCCTGGGGAGAAAAAAGTCCATCAGACTCTAATTTCCTATTAACTAGCAAAAAGATAGAAGTGGACATGTGACTCAAGTGGGAGAGCACCAGCCTTCAGCACAAAGCCAAGTGACAGTGGCCGGTCCCTGAGCTTAAGCCAGTACTGACACAAAAGTTATCATAAGGGGCAGCGGGAGCTGCTTAGAGATCCAGGGTGTGGAGGCATCCTGACCAGGTGAGGGCATCTGAGGGTCTCTGGACTCAGCCTCCAGGACTAATGTCCACTCACCCGCCCCCTCCCCCAAGCAGTTCTTTCCTCCTGGTGGAGGGAGGGAGCCTGCCTCTGTGCTGGGGACCAGGGACCTCCCCGGGGGCTGAGCACCTGACAGATGGCTGAACCATGTCTGACCAGGGCCTGCGCCCTATTGGGCAACGTGGTGAAGGGGGGCGGGCAGCAGCTTCCCCAATGAGACCTCACTATCAGATTCACATATTCAGTCACAAAATCCTGAACCGGAAAAAGCCCTTGTGACACCCGGCCACCGGCTTGTTCAGAGGTGGGGTGCCGCCCGCGGGGTACAGCTCCGCGTTTCACGCAGCAGGCTGGCAGAGAGTCCTGGGCTTGGAGTGCAGAGAAAGTTCAGCACACCAGCCACGCCTCATTCCTGCCACCTGGCATCGCCACTGTGCTGTGAAGACCCTGTCCACTCACCTGGTTGGCAAAGAGCAGGTGGCACACGGTGTGGTCATCCGGGTCCTTCATGATGGCACGGATCACCTGCAGCATTGGCGTGATGCCTGCAAAAGGGGCCCGGGCATCCCGTGAGCACTTGTGACCAGCCCCCTCACGGGCCAGTGCTAGGATACAGGGCCCTGGGCCCTGGGCCTGCAACAACCTGCCTGACCAGACCTCACGGGCTCGGCCTTACCTGTGCCCCCTGCGATCATGCCCACAGACTTCACCGTCGTGATGACGGGGTTGGACTTCTTGTCTGGACGAATGGCAAACTTCCCTGAAGGATGAAGAGGGGTGAGACGGCACCCAGACACGCTTTGCTGGGGCCTGCAGGTCCCAGGAAGGTAGGGGACCTGGGACCCCACAAAGAGCCACTGGGGCGAGGGGGTGGTGAGCAACAGCTCCTCTCAGGCCCTCTGCCTGTATCAGGCACTGAGCTGCTGGGTGAGGGCTCTGTGGGGTGCGTGAGGGGCTCCCAAGAGTGGCTGATCAGCAACCCTGGGGTGGGTGAGCCCCAGAGGGCAGAAGGGGAGACCGAGGCTTGAGAGAACAGAGCAGGTTCGGGCAGGTGGACACCTGGGGTGCCAGCTCTCCAGTCTTGGGGACCCCCACCCGGGTCACCTTTGCCCTGGTAGACCAGCAGCCCGTTGGGGCCCCGGAACTCAATGGTGTCACCCAGCTTCATGTTCTCTAGGTACTGTGACATCTTCCCTCCGGCCGGGAACTTGGGGTGCGTGTCCTTGAAATAAACCTGCGAGGAGACACACGTTCCGGCCTCATCCCTGGCACGGGTCTGAGGCAAGCCCTGACCACAGTGGCAGGCTGCGCGTGGCCTTGTCCACGGCACCCCACAGTCCACATCCTGCCCCCCACAACTTGGCACTCACGACGCCTCTCAAACAGAACCCTCCTGGAGCAACAAGAAGCCAGCCAGAGGGCTCAGTGGGCACAGACGCCCCAGACTCAGCTCAGGGACCCACAAGGGAGTTAGCGCAGCAGAGGCCCTGGCGGGGCCCAGCCATATCCCCGGGGGTGCTCAGGGCTTTGCATTTTGTGTGGCTGTCAAATCCCCCCTCTAGCCAGGCACCGGCGGCTCACGCCTGTAATCGTAGCTACTCAGGAGGCTGAGATCTGAGGATCCTGCCCTGGCAGGAAAGTCTGTGAGACTCTTATCTCCAACTAACCACCAGAAAACTGGAAGTGGTACTGTGGTTCAAGCGGTAGAGCACCTGCCTTGAGCTGAAGAGCTGAGCGACAGTGCCCAGGCTCAGGGTTCAAACCCCAAGACCAACAAAAAATAAAATCTCGGTGGCTCAGTGGTAGAGTGCTTGCCTTGCATGCATATGGCCCTGGGTTTGATTCCTGAGCATCACATGAGCAGAAAAATTGGAAGTGGTGCTGTGGCTCAAGTGGTAGAGCACTAGCCTTGAGCTGAAGAGCTGAGGGACAGCGCCCAGGCCCAGAGTGCAGGCCCCATGACCGACAAAATATAAAATAAAATAAAATAAAAACATAAAATCTCCCTTCTTGGAACAGCTCCCTTCCCATCCCGGGGGTGCCGCCCTGGGAAGGGAGTGGGCCTCTGACCCCACCGCCCGCGGAGATGGGGAGACAGGGCAGCTGCACCCTGCCCAGGGCTGGGCTGGCTTCTCTGGAGGGGGGACGGGGACAGAGGCTGGCTGGGAGGGGCAGTGCCGACCCTCAGGTAGGGGGTCCCTGGCCACAGCACAGGGAGGGGTATGGTCATGTGTTTCCCCCTGTGTCCCCCCCACCCCGTTCCCTCTGGGTGGCTGGTGGCTTTGACACCCACAGATGCTGTGTCCCTCACCATCTCCTCTTTGCTTCTGGACAAGGTGCCAGGCCAGGCCGTGGCTGCCAAGGCCCAGATGGCCTTGCTGACCGCTCCTTCCTCCTGCCCACCCCTCTAGGTGCCCTCTGGGCCTTCACGCCTCTTCCCTTCACCTGCTGATGCCTGCTCGGGCCTCACCTTGCTTCCTGGGCATGCCTCACATACCCCACCCCCACCCGCCTCCCCGCCCCAGCCCTGGGGACTCACTGTTAGCCAGTGAGCTCCCTTCCCGTGCTTAGCACGCTCCTTCCCCGCTCTACAGCTTGGCACGCTCCCTTCCTAGGCAACACTAGGTCCATGTAGTAAAGGCAGCAAATAATCAGGCTCCAGCCCCCTTTGCCTTGGGATGGCACTCCTCTGGGCAGCTGCCACCCTATAAGGCAGCAAGAGCCCCTTAGAGCGACCTTCAGGTCTGGGCAGCTGCAGGGCTCCATATCTACTACTCGGGCAGCAGCCATCAATCCTAGTCCACCATGATGAAGCCCCTGGCCGTCACCTCCACACCGGGGTCTCCACTCCTAGCCTCTCCTAGCTTCAGTAGGGTACACAGTCACCTCAGACAATAGCCGGGGCTGCTCCTCACTCCTCTCTTGTGGGAAGGGTCTTGCCGGCTCCCTCACCAGCAATCAACCTTTTCTTTATTCATTGTACCTGGATGTCTGCGTGGCGAAGTTGAATACGCTCTAACCCTCACCTTGACCACCAGGTCCACGAAGCCCTTGTCATCATCACTGGAGACCGGGGTGTAGGGCCGGATGACCAGGTTCCCGTCAATGCGAGTAGAGAGATAGATGTGCTGGCCTGTGGGGTGCAGCAGGGTCACTGCAGGGTCTGCTCCCCAACCGCCTCCCACGGGGGGGGGAACCCCCACATGTCCCAGCACTTGACCTCGGACGTGCAGGTGCCACCAGCGGGGACCTGGGGCCTTCCCCATCTAGTGGAGGCCACCGTTCAAGGCCTCCTCCTCCCCCACTCTGCCCACCTCTCTGGCCTGGCTGGTGGCGGGGGTGGGGTGGGGAGGGGGGGGAGAACAGGACTCACCGATGGGGAGGCCCAGGATGTGCTGGGGGGAGGGCAGCGCGAAGCGGAAGCGCCGAGTGTCGTGGCTGAGGATCTGCAGGGAGGAGGCCAGAGCTGTTGAGAGCTCACGGGGTGGGGGTCGGGGGCCACCCCACCCCATGCCCCCCACCCCCCGTGTTCCACGGGAAATGAGGCTGCTGGCATGCAGGGGTGCACGCCCCCACGTATCTGAGGAGCAGCGACCCCATCCACAGTCCCAGGATGAGAAGAGTCCAGACATCCTAGAAAGGGGGGGAGGGGGCAGCTCGGCCCTCAGCATGGACAGGCGTTCAATGGGACAGAGCTGAGACAAGGCCACACCTGACTAGGCCCTAGCCAGGAGAGAAAGTTCTGGAAGCCTCTGTACTTGGAATTCCTTGACAAGTGGGCTGCGGGCTCACTGCCACCTTGGAAAGCCCACATCTGGCCAGAGGCCAGTGCCCACGGCCAGGCCTCCTCCCTGCCCAGGCTGGTACAAGTGTGGTCAGCAGGTAGACCCTGGAGCCGTGCGACAGGCCCTGTACAGCGAGCGACCAGAGCCAGGACCAGCACCAGCGCCCTGACTGCTGCTACCAGCCTGGCCAGGAGACAGGCGGGCGCTGGAGACCTTGCTCACACATAAGCCAAGACCCACAGACAGGCAGAAGAGCACGAGCTGGAGAGTCCCCTCTGCAGCACACAGCGGCTGCCATGCAGGGTGACTGGAAGTTCCGGAGGCTGTGATGGAGCGGAGGTAGTGCCCGGGAGGCCCTGACTTGCAGTGGCCATTTCCCCCATGACCCAGGCCTCTGGCTGCCTCCCCAGAACCTTTGTGCTAGCGGCAGACAAAGCATCAAGGCCCCAGGAGCAGAGTCCAGGACTATTGATCGGTCCTGTGGATCAAGGTCGGACACTCGCTATCAGACATTTTCGGAAGACCAGAAAGGAGGGACGGTGCTGCAAGCCAGGAGGCCCTGGCAGGCGCCCCGGGGAGCCCGGCTGCTGGCCCGGACCAGCTAGCACCAGGCCTCTGTGGGGACAGTGGCGGGCTTCAGGTGTGCACACCCCTGCCCCCGTGTGCATGTGCGACGCGGAAGCGGACCTGGCGCGGCTGGGCTCCCTCCGCGGGCCTCGGAGCGCCGCAGTGGTAGGATGGGGGAGGGGCCACTCACATTACACAAATGAATTTTTTTTTGGCCAGACCTGGGGCTTGAACTCAGGGCTGGGGCACTGTCTCTAAGCTTCTTCTTCTTTTTTTTTTTGGTTGGTCATGGGGCTTGAACTCTGGCCTTGGTCACTGTCCCTGAACTCTTCAGCTCAAGGTGAGCACTCTACCACTTGAGCCACAGCAACACTTCAGTTTTCTGGTGGTTTACTGAAGATAAGAGTCTCACGGCCTTGAGCTGAAGAGCTGAGGGACAGCGTCCAGGCCCAGAGTTCAAGCCCCACGACCGACAAAAAAAAAAAAAAAGAGTCTCACGGACTTTCCTGCTCAGACTGGCTTTGAACCGCGATCCTCAG